TTCCTAAAAGCATCTTGCTGCCTGCTCACAGGCTTCCAGAGGGGCTGAGCACACAGGCTGTGCTCATCTCAGGGCAGCTCCAGTTAAACCAGTAAATAACCTCAACCAACACCAGGGCACAGATGAACCAAGGCAGCCCAGCTCGCTCCTGCATACTCCATTTTTGTCGTTACACACATGTACCCCGGAGCTGCCGACACCTGGTGTGGTTACTTGTGCCCACATGTGGGATCCAGCCCACACTCTAGACAACTTGGAATCCACCACCGGGCACCTGGTTGCAATTACAGTGGCCTCTCCCTCAGCGTGGCCATTTTCCTGTCTACTGGGGAACATGGCACAAGTTTATCCTGTGTTTTGAGATCACGTCAAGATCAAAACCAAAGCAGAAGCCAGCGGAGTTGGCAGCCCTGGGTGTTGTTCAAGGGCTGTGTGTGGTGCCGGGGGGCTTCGTGGGAAGGCAGGACACTGCGAGGGGACACGCACGTCCCTCCCAGGAGCGTTCCTCTGCACTGGCCAGGAAGGGGGGCCACCACCACGTGCCCTGGGGCAACAAGCATCACAGTCCCGGACGCCCTCGAGCACGGGCTGAGGAAGAGGTTTGCAGGTGATGCTGCCCCCACCACAGCTCATTTCACTGTGAAGCACGGCCGTGTGCTGCCGGGACAGCCCCAGCCCCACTCCCACAGAGCCACTGGGCCCCCAGTAAAAGCACTGGTGGCCCCAGGGTGAGAACTGGAACGCCCGGGGAGATGCGGAACCGCACCACGGGGACAGACAAAGCTCCTCTTGGAGACCCCAAGCACAAACACTGGAAACTTCAGGAGGCACCAGCACCCACAGACACCCCCTGAGCACCACTGCACTCACCCACGCTGTCCCAACAGCCCCCCCAAGCAGCACCAAGGATGCCCAAAATGCCTGGCAGTAGTCCCCCCACTTACCAGCCAGCTCCCCAAGCTGGGTCTGCCCTCCTCCACACCCAAGGCAGGCACTGCAGTGAGGATCCACCCTCCCCACATTTATAACCCACAGATGCCCCATGGCCCCAGCAGCACGAGCTTCACCTGCAGGCTGTGGCAGCAGGCAGGGAATGGGGACGGTTGGGGTGTTTTCAGGGAAAAGCATGGCTTTCCCTGTTACAGGTTATAAAACGTTCCCAGGGCCCATCACAATGAAATGTGTAATTGCAAACCAGCCCTGCTGCTCTCCTCCATCTCCAGACCTACGTGAAGGCAGGGAAGTTTTAATTTCATCCTTTTGGAGCTTTTTTAGTTTTTCCTATCTTTGTTCTTTCCCTTCTGTCCTCCTAAATTTGGCATGAAAGAAAAGGGAGTAAATAAAAATTTTGGAAAGTTCTTACAAGCCTGCTCTTCCTGGCTTACAGAGCAGTCGGGATAGAGGGGGAGTCCCAGGGCACAGGAACTACAACACTTTGGATCGCTGGATTTTCAAAACAAAAATAGGGTTAAAACCGGAAACTTTGGTTAACAGAGACAGGGATGAAAACTTCATTTCATGCTTGGCAGCAAAGCTGCATCTCCATTGCCCTCTTGCTCTGGCACTTCCCCCATTTAACCCGGTGCCCCAAAGGCATTTCCGCAGCCCTGGCAGTGCCGAGGAGCTCGCCGCCGTCCTCTGAGCAAGCGGACATGGGCACGGAGCTGCCCGAACTCTCGTGGGAGCTCACTTTTAGAAACGCTTCCCCGAGGAAGCGCCAGCGGCGTGCTGGGGAGCAGACAGACGTCAGGTGCTCGCCTGAGTTTTTAAGGACATTCTACCAGCACCTGCTGTCCTGGGGGAAAATAGCACCTTCCAGATTTCTGGATTTTTAGCAATCTGAGATAGACACAGCGAAGGGAAAAAAAGTCATAAAATCAGCCGTGTGGGACTGTGTGCCCTCCCCAGCCCACCCCAGAGGTGCACACAGAAGGCATCGGCACGGCTCAGCAGCATCTTTTTCACCACTTTATTTCCAGAGGTTTTGTGCAGAAAGGTACAGCAGTGATACCTGTCCCTGAGCCTCCGGGGGAGCTTTCGGGGAGGCATTTCCAAATGATAACTGACCCCACGGCATCTCCTGCACAGGGACTGCAGCCTGCCGGGGGGAGCAGCCAGACCCCCACCGTCCCGGCCGGCATCGCAGGGTCCCACCAGTTGAGACCCCCCTGGCAACAGCAGCCCCAAAGCTGGGGTCCACGGGCTGATACCAATGAATACAAAAGACACTGTGAAGGGGGTTTGAGCTCAGATTTCCCTAAGAGCCCGCTGTGGGTTATCGGGGAAAGGGCTCCCAGATCAGCGCCACCAAAGCACCCACAATAAAGAGGCAGAGCTTCCTCAGTAGTCCTTGGCTCTCGGTGACATGGCACAAGAGCCTCCACTGAGGTGTGAGCTGACACCTTCAGGAAATCAGCTGCTGACTTGCCTTAAATCTCCCTTTTTAATTAGGCGGGTGAGGCAGTGATGACAAAGGCAGTTTCTGCTCTGGATAGACGGGAGAAACACGTTGCACAAACACGGGATGGGATCCCCGTCACCGCCGGCGAATGGAACCCACCCACCCCTGGGGAACGAAACAGCACGGTGGAGAACTGCCGGGTGAGCACACTGAATTTCAAGCAACGGCTGCTCGAGCGATGCCCACCCACCCTTCCCACGCCCCAGCCCATCCCTTGCACGCCGACTTGCTTCTCGAGCCGAAACCCCCACGACCCACCCCACAGGACAGCACGAGTGGGATGGGGGCGCAGATCCTGGCAGAGCCACCGGCCCAGCCGCCGTCTCACACCCGGCAGCTTCGGTTGGAAGCGCATCGCTCCGCCGGGGCTCTTGGAAGCAACAGAAACGACCCAAAACGCTGCCGTGGTGGACATAAACCCGTGCTTGTGCTCGGAGCAAGAGCCGGGAGATTTCATCCCGGGCACCTTCCCCCTTCCTACCCAAAGCTGCTTTTATTGTCTTGATCTAATGAAGTGCAGACTTCACCTGGACAGACCCATAAGTGGCTCCTCTCGGAGGCAATGAATACAAATACTTGACCTCATGAGCTGCAGGGCAGCAATTAGTTTAAGCAGGGGGTTTGTGTAACACTTCAAAAGTCTTAATCCGTGCGGTCAGCCCTGGCACGGTATTTGCCAGAACCTATTGAGTAGTCTTAATGAGTCTGCAAAGCAAGCTTTCAATACATTTTGGGTCGCTTCAGATGCTTTAAATGGCATAGTCTATATGGTATTGTGCGGCTTTAGAAAGGCCCGGGCTTTAAAAAAGTATGGCTCCCTTTCACAGGGCAGACAGAAACCATCTTTAGAGCCGGGACCCTTAACGTTTTGCATATCAATATGGCTGGGGCTGAATGCAGTCACTCAGCTGAGAAATAGGATCACTATCAGCGTTTCCAGGCTTTCACAGGCACTTGGGAAACTTTAAAGCCCTTCGTGGAGAATAATTTGGTCGAATGTCGTGGCTGGAAACAAAACCTAAACAAGCAGAGCGCAGTCCATCATGCGGAGCTGCCAGCGAGAATGACAACAGGCTCCAGCCGCTCCGACATCCAACCCCCAGCGGGTCGGTGGCCGGGACACTTGCAGTCCCGGGGGGGGGTGACACAGCCAGGGGGACCCCGAGCTGGGCACGGGGTGCTGAGTCCCACCCGGCAATGGCCACATCGCTCAGAGCGCGCTGGGATTTTAACCAGCACAAAACCAGTCCTGATTTCATCTCTTCTTACTATTCTTTTACAATCTCCCCGTTTCTTCACACCGGCCATAAAGCCCCAGGATCTGGCACCACACGGGTGGAATCTGCGTCTGTCCCCAGCCCCCCTCGCACACGCATGGACCCGCGCCACCATGCCCCTCTCCCCACGCAGAAACGGGCAACTGTTTGCATTTAACTCCAACATCACGTTAAGCCCGTCCCTGCACGTGGTGTCACTTGTCCCAGCAGCAACCAGATGAGCCCAAGGGTTGAACTGGACAAACGCGCGGAACCTCAGCTACAGCTCAGCACATCGGTGCAGAAAATACGCGTCGCCTCCAAGGGGCACAAAGGAGGTGCCAGTGGCTGGGACACGGGGAGAGCCGTGCGGGGTTAAAGAACAACGTGCTGGTGTAAAACCACCCCCGGAGCTGGAAGGAAGGGGGCTGGTGCCTGCTGTGCGTCCCAAAAGTGGCACCTGCAGCCTCCATCACCCCGGAGGGCAGCGGCGAGGAGGGGAGGGGGTGGCACGTCTGGTGGGACGGTCAGCTTCGTGTGATGGAAGAAACCGCAGCCAAAGCATATTTGCAAACAATGCAGGGCCTGAGGGCCCTTGAAAACATGTAATTAGCTCATTAAAGAGACAAATACAAGTCACTAATAAGATATGAGAGGTTAATTAAATGTTTTCCCCATCTTTAATTAAGGGAAAACTAGTTAATTCACATTAAACTAATTTCTGCAGCCTCCCATGATGGCCCTCTATGGCTGCAGATTTGAAAATCTATTGAGATTATTGAACGGAAAGGTCAGAGTTTGGGGCTTTTGTCTTTTCTGCTTGGGTGAATTTGGGGGAAGCAGGGATTTTCATCCTAAGGGTTAGAAATGCTCTGCTTTATCATCTGGGTTACTCGTAGTACATAAGAAGGTATGTGATGTGCAACTCCCTCTCCCTAACCCCAGACCTGGCATTTATTCAAAACAACTGCTGTTAATTGTTTTTTCTTAACTAGGAAATTCCTGCAGACTATTTTCTGTCTGCAAAACATACCCCATGCTTGGGGTCCGCCGCTCGGCTGGCCTCACCCACCGCCCCACGGCAGTCGACGCCTGCGCTCAGCACCAGAATTTGATTTAGCAAAAAACCCACTGGCCGCACGCCCCCGGGGCCAACTGGTTTCCAAAGCTTTTATTGTGGATGGCAGAGCTGCCATCCCCAAGCACACACACGCACCCAGCCACGCACTCACGCGCTCCCACTCACCACCCAGATCAGTCACGGTTAATACAGATTATCAAGATTTATATGGAAGAATATTTAATCTTGTCAAGGAGGGGAGAGGGGTCATCTGTGTTTTTATTTCTTAAATATTTTTCTCTACTCCAGAAGGGTCCGTTTCTCACCAGAAAACGTCTGATATAAATTAGAACGAAGGGAGGAGGTTGGTGGTGGGGCGGCCACGGGCATCCCTGGACCACAGCAGCCCCGAGCATCCCCGGACCGCGGTCCTGGCTCCCGCACACCGCTGGGCAGACCAGGTCCCAGCTCGGCAGCGTGCCCGGCCGAAGGCTCAGTCCCACCCAAAGTCCTGCCCTGTCATCTGATAAAACTTCATGTTGAAGGGTCTGTAAAACTCCCGCAGGCGCTGGACCACCTGCACGTCGATTTTGGGGTGCGGCCGCCCCTTGGATTTCCCCAGGCAGCGGGGTTTGCTGCCGCCCTCCGGCTTCTTCAGGCAGGGAAAGCCCTTGGTCTCATTGAAATAGAAATGTTTGTCCGTCACCACCCTCTTGAGACCCAGGAAGTCCTGGACACGGCCCATCTCCCCGGCCGGGTCGCTGACGAGCCTCTCCCCACTGACGAAGAGGAATTTGGAGAGGGGGAAGTACTGCAGCCAGTTGTCCAGGTGCTTGGCGTAGATCCCGATCCTCACTGCACTCCAGCTCGTGTCGATCAGTCCCGTGCTGATGTTTTTGAAGGCCAGGGCCTGGAAGCTGGGGATGGCTGGGTTTTTGGAGAGCGTCTGCGTGTAGTCCGAGATGGCGCGGGTGACGGGGTTCCTCACCACCACGATCAGCTTCGTGTCCCGGGACATGTTGTAGATGCGCCGGGGAGCCTCCTTGGTGACGAAGTAGCTGGGGGTCTTCTCCATCGTGATCTGCCCCTCCAGCGTCCGCGGCATCAGGCTCCTGGGGAGAGAAGGGGACACGGTCAGGGCTCAAGGCACGGCTGCTCCGACCCGACGCCGCGGCGGGGATGAGCGGGAGCAGACCCCAAAACTTGGCCAAAAATTCCCAGGGGCTCCCCAGCTGCAACCGCTCCTCTCCTTCCCCTTCTGCCAGCTGAGGACACTGCCTTGTCACAGCCCATCGGTCACCTCCTTGTCTTCAAAAGCCTTCCTAGGAGCACCCCTGCCCGGGTCTCTCCTTCCCTCACCTCGTCTCAGCCTCCCCCCTTCATCCCCCCCAGGATCCGTCCCCGGGATCTGCTGCCCCACCAACAGCACCATCCAGAGGGTACTTGCAGGCTGTTTGTCCCCCTCGGAGGTGCCCCAGGACCCCCTTCCCAACCCTGGGGATCCCTCCTGCCCCCTCCTCCTCCACCCCACTGAGTTTCAGTGGTGGAGACCAGCGTCTCGCCATGCCCGTTTCGGGATGGGGCTGGTTTTCATCCCAGCCTCTGACCGACTGCGGTTACTGGATGTGCCAACTGGCCACGTAAGGTTGCAAAGAGGTGAATCTCCTCGCGGGGGTGTGCACCCACGGGGGGGGGGGGGGCGGGGGGGGGAAGCCCAAGCGGTGGCTGGGCATGGAGATGTGGGCTCCCACCTCCTCTGCCTCCAGACAGCAAGCAGTTAAGGCCAGAAAAAGACTGTTTCCTTTTTAAAAAAAAGGCAGAAAACCTCTCAGGGCCCAGCCATTGTGCTGTGTAAAATTCACTGCCTTGATTGTTCCCTTGTGCACTTTAATGAGGCATTAATTGCCAGAGAAATTACCCAGGCATGTCACCCTATGAGGAGGGCTGGGGGCTGCAGAACTGGTCCCCCCTGCCACCAGCACAGTCACCTGCCCCAGAGCCCCTCACAGCCCCCTTCCCCTTGGGGGTGGACACGTCCCCTCTGGTTGTCCTGGTGGAACGGGGGGACTCAGTTTCCCCAATGGCCACGGCACCAGCGTGGCTCCCCAACACGCAGCGTCACCCCGAGATGCTGCTGCTCCCCACGGTTTCCCTTGCTGGCAGACAGCGCAGATGTACCAGGGGACCGGCAGCTCTCGCTGCTGCATCCCAGCAGCCCACTCCCACGGCACCCCGCACAGGAGCCCTCGCCGACAGACCCCACTAGGGATGCCGAGACGGAGCTCGCTCTTCGTGGGGCTCATCTGGGATTGAAACAGCTTAATTTCCTCTGCGCTGTCACAAGCTGTGGGGTCCCCATCCCCTCCATCACGCTTGGGGTGACATGCCTGCCTCCCCTCCCTGGTTCTGTAAAACAGAGGGGTCTCTTGCTGAAAGCCCTGAGCTGGAAACTCATTCTGCTCGGAGCACAGCAGCGTTCTGCCCCGGTGCCAGGGGCTCAGCCCTTCTGTCCATCCGACCTGGGGTCTGGCCCTGCACGGGGTCTTTCCCAAGCAGGAGGCTGATTTCCCGCAGGGAAGGGACACAACGCTTTCAGAGGTTTGCTTAATACTTTCAGAAATGTCCAAACCACTTCAGTACTTCTTCTGAGCTAGAAACTACACATCTGTGTGCACACAGAAATACATATACAGAATATCATGTCTTTTGCTCCCACCTAGGACTTAGCAGATGGCAGAGCACTTAACCCAGCAGGCAAGCGCTGGTTTACAACGGGAAACTGAGGCACCAAGCAGTGACAGGGCTGCTCTGCCTACATTCATCCAGCCAACAAACATCCTGACACAAAATCACTTGTATGGGTCAGCAAACACACAGGGATCCAACCCAAGCTGCTCCACACCCAGAGGCATCCCAGGACAAGGTCCAGAGATCAGGAAGTTTCTTGGAAAAAGTATTGATACCCAAACATTAACTGTGACAAGGGATAAAATAAAGAAAAAAAAACAAAAAACAAAAAGCAACCCAAGTTTAACTGAGAGGTTTCACTTAACTGAAAGGACAGAGTTGGGACTGGACAGATTCTTTCCTACAAGGACTTCCCATTTTGTCTGAACTTGGAAGAATTTTGATTTTAAAACTCAAGGTTCCCCCCGGGGCTGCTCCACCCCGTGTCCCTTGGGGCTTGCTGGAAAGGAGAGGAGCTTCCCCAGCCTGTCCCCATACACCAATGCTCCCTCCCCCAGGCAGGGGAAGGGGTTTTTTAACCTCGCTTGTCTGAGGTCAAGCCGACCCACGCAAGGGCAGGGATCCCAAAGCCCTGCTCAGGGGATCCCATCCCTGCGGGAACGCTGGCAGAGCAGGAGGATGAGGATGGACCTTCCCGCCGGGCTGCGGCTGGGTCCCGCAGCAGGGCCGCCCCTTGGCAGCTGCATTTTGGGGCAGGACGGGGCGTTTCGGGGATCCCCATCCCGCCGCTTGGAGCGGTGGCACCGCCGGGGGAGCTGGGTCCCCACGGCGGGAGGGGACGGGCCACGCAGCAGCCGGGGCTGTGCTGTGGGGAAGCCAGGGCTCTGCCCAGCAGCATCTGTTCCTTATGTAATGGGAAAAGGCTTGAGGTTTCTGGGTTTTTTTCCCCTGGACGCAGGAAAGAACACTTTATTAAAAGCATTTGCGAGCGATGCTGGGCCCCGCACAACACCCTCCCCCAAACAAGAAGCAAAAGCCACTTGTGGCTTTTTCTTCCCCTTACCTCTTTGTTTTTTGTTTGTTTTTGGTTTTGTTTTTTTTTTTGGGGGGGGGGGGGATGGTGCCAGCATTTTCAGAGCCACTTCTCATCCCCAGCATCACCACCCAGCAGCCCCATCCCTGCCTGGGCAGGCGGGATGCCCTTCAGAGGTACTTGCATTCAGGGCAGCGATGGGTGGTTACCCCAACCTTTTCAGCACCTTTCCCTGCCCCAAATAACAGTGCTCAACAGAGGGGCTCACTGCCAGCATTCCCGCTGGAAAGTGCCTTCCCAAAGCAGGATCGGGCCCTTGCACCCCACACCCTTACCCGGGGCCAAGCAAAACCAACCGCGCATCTCCAAACGCTGCTGTTAGCACACCTCCAACTTGCTGCTCGGGCCTCTTTCCCACAAGCCAAGCCAGCAAAGTCTATTTAACTCCAATTACATTCAGAAACCTGCCATAGGGTTTGTCAGGCTGCCTCACGCAGCTTTTTCTGGGCAACTTGTTGAGACATTTCTCCGGCGCTTCCCCAAATGCCACCGGGATTTCTGCACGGCAAAATGGCTCCTTCCTTGTGCTGCCCGCCTGCCCAAAACCCTCTCTCAGCAAATATGAGCTCAAGACCTAAATCAGTCCCTCTCCCCAGTGGTCAATAAAATGTTTATTATCAAACAGTGAACGTTTGGGATGACGTGATCTGAGAGCTCGCGTTAAACCGAAACACCGCTTTTCTCAGCCTGTGCTCCCCAAACCGGCACTGATTTGACCCCAGCTCAGGAATTCATGGTTGTGCTCAGCTTTCGAAAAACACGACGGTTTGGGTTTGCTGCAGTTGCCATCGTGGTGTTCATAAGGACACAAACAGGAGAGGAAACCTGTGAGCTACCCCTGCAACAGTGGTGCTGTCTGAGAGCACGGATGCAGCGACCACTAAGAGCGACGCGAGTCTGGATGCCCCAGAAAAGGTTTTGCTAAAATATTTAATAAAACCCATTTTCCAATCCCCTCTTCCTTTTTGCAGAGAGACAGCAAGGGCCAGACTGAGCCCCACAGCGCCAAGGCCATCCCTAAGGGGGTCCGTGGGGCAGAGGGACCCCCCAGGACCCCGCTCACCGCAGGCAGCCCGGGACACCGGCACCCAGCAGTACCAGCACCTTTCCCTGTGCTCATCCTGCTGACCAAGGGCTTCTCAGCACACAGGAATGGCACCAACATTAATTAAAAAATCAACCACACCATCCTAGGCTTGATTAAAACGTAATTAAAAATAGAATTTTTAATAAAGCCCACGTTGGAGGCAGGGTTTCCCAACTCCGTTGGCACAGGTACCGCCGGAGCAGCGGCGAGCGGCTCCTGTGCCTGTGATGGGATGCAGAGACCTTCCCCCCCACCACCACAGCCCCACACTTGGTCCCCCCTCCAGGGACAGCAATGGGGCCATGACATCCCCTATAACGCCCCCCCCTGCCCCGGGCTGGTCCATCAGAGTCCTAAGCTCTGCAGAGCCAGCACTCAGGCTGGCCCTAGGACAGGTTCCAACACATTTACAGCTTTGTTTCCGACGGGGACAAGAGGCGCACGACCCCCCCGCGGGTTGGACCCCGCCGACTTGGTTTAAAACCCTCCATCCCACGAGGGTTAACGTGAAGCCACCGCCCGCCGGGTCCCAGCATCATCCTGGGACCACGTCAGGAACAGCAGCCTCCGAGCAGTTAATTGTGCAACACCTCCTCTTCCTCAGCAGCTCAATCACTCCCAACTACTTGCAAGATAATTACGCTATTTCACATTTTCATTAACTCCCTAATACTTTCCCCTAAATTACTGCAGTTAATTATTGATAACCCCTGCTTCCCCCCAGATCTGGCTTAAACTGGCAAAGAGCAGACCAGGCTTCTGCTATGCTCCACTTCAGCACAAGCATTGGAAGCTTAAATTAAATTTACAGTTAATTCTTATTGACCTTAAGAGAATTCCTTGGGAATGCTAAGCATCGCCTACAGGTAGGCGACACTACAATGAGGGAGCATGTCAGCAGCCTTGGAGGGAATTCCTATTTCAAGAGGAGCCCATGTGCCCAGGCAGAGAAATAAAACTTTTACCTTTCCAGTAAGCTGATAAATTAGTAAAACAACTAGCATTTGAGAGGCATCAGAAATGGGATTTCCTATGTAGAATATTGCTTGGAGAGCAGACGCAGCGCACTGCTCCTGGCAGCGCCTTGGAGGTGCACTGAGACAAAACCTTCCTCCCAGTGACTCAGCACTGGTGTGACAGTGCTGTCCCACACTGGGCATTACTGGTCATAGAATTATAGAATTCAGCTGGGTTGGGAGGAACCTTAAAGACCATCAAGTTCCAACCCCCTGCCCTGGGCAGGG